ATATATATATATATATATTTATGTATTTTGTTTTTCTTTGATGTCACATTACCTTTTGTAGGTTTATAGACTGGTCTAGGTGGCTGAAGGCCTTCTAGATTGGTTACGAATTTTTTTTTTTGGTTACGAAAACACATACACCACATTCCAATTTGTACACTTATAAACACTTGGCCACTCTAGCATGAAACAGGTAAAGTTACTGGCTTATTATGAACTTGGAGCACAATCCCAATAATCAAAACCCAAAGAGGATCCACATGACACATCCAGTATTACACAAAGCCAACTGCATGAAGGAATGAGAAGTAATAAGAGAGTTCACTAACAAATATATCAAAAGCAGAACGCAGTCTAATAAATGTAAAAGGGAGGTGGCATCCACAAGAACCTGTGAGATAATATAACACACTAGTAAATAACAAAAGGGTTCTTAGTACATTGCTTATGTGTAAAAACAGGAATTTACAGAAGACAGTTAAAATGCAGTCCTTAATTGGAGAAATGCACACCTTCCATGGTCTTGCCTCTCAGTATACAACAAGAAGAGCTGGATAAGATCCTCACGTGTGAGAAAAGGAGTAGAAACAACTGATAGCAGGTTGATCATTACACTTTTCATCGATGTACTTTGTTTTAAACATTTGACTTTTTTGTAAGATTAGATACTATATAAGATATAAAAAGTTGCATCCTATCTACCAAAGACATGGAAACAAGAAAGGGAGTGCAAAATTATACAATTGCAAAGCACAAAAATAAAATACTTAAAAGTGAAAAAAAAATAATATCCCAAGATTTTTTCAGTAAATTAAAAATCAATAATCCAATTTGACTGCACCAAATATCTTTATATCACCTCTATGATTTGACTAAAGTGTTTCTGTAAGTAACATCCAGCAATCTAACATAATCCAATAGTAAAAAAATAGTAATCCGACAGCTAATCGGCAAAAAAAAACTAAAATAAATTAAAAAAGCTAACCATACAAGATGGATAAATAGAGCAGAGGAAAGAAAGATAGATAAATAGAGAGATAAGAGAGGGAAACATACAAATCCGTAACTCATGGATAAAGTAGGAGCACATCTACTGCAATCGCATGGAACCCAGAAAAGGTCACTACCAGTATCAAGTGCCACAAGAAATGTCACGTTTGGTGTCCCAAGTGTCACAAATGAATAATGCAAGCTGCCATGTGAAATCCACAATAAAATAAAACAATTTAGAACAAATAAGAGACAAAGCAGAGAAAAAAAGAAAAGAAAATTCCCATTTCAAAGAAATATAATAAATAAGAAAATGCAAATACAACTTCACAACAAAAATTACATGGCCTTTGATAGCATTTGGTGGTGGTCCCAAATTCACTACAAAAAATAACTCAATAGTTTGAAACCAAAAAGACTGAACCCAATTAAAATCTAGAATATCGCAAATTCAATCATATATGAATAAGTATAAAAGATTTACCAACACAACCCCAGAAAATGAAAAAACCATATTTAGGTTCAAAACTCATCCCTCATATAAGGAAATTAATGAATTGTTGAACAACTGACACAAGAAGAAATAAATAAATATAACCGCATTACACAGAGAAATCCATATACAACCCAATCCATCACACAAAGAATAAAGTCAAGAAAAATAAAAAAAAACATAAAAACTAACTGAACTGTTCTTTATCAGTAAACAACTTAATTAAAATTTAAAAGTAAAAGTAACAACTATTGCACAACAAATCCATAAAATAAATAAATAACTAAAACTTTCAACAAATACCATGCAAAGAAACCCAGATGCTACCCAATTCATCATACAAAAGTAGCTAAATAACAAATGAATTATTTAACAACTGAAATAGATTCATAAAAAAGAAAAACAGAGAATCCGCAAAATACTGCACCAGACAAATAAAAAACTAAATAGCAAATGAAATATAAAAATCGACTAAATTAGACAATTTCCCTTTCGAAACACAACAAGACAATTCCAAAAAAAAAAAAACCGAGAGAATAGAGAAACAGAAGTTAGAATAATCATACAATCCGAGGGACGAGAGCTTGAATGTGGTGTTTCCATCTGCAAAAGTGAGTGGAGCTCCAATCTCAGAGATCCCTCGACCTCTCAAATTATGGTCATGGTGAACAAGTGACAAGTAATAATCTTCACTCCCTGACTCTGGCCATTCTTCATATCCAATTCCATGTCTCAAGCTCATCCACTCCTTCACAGGCTCTGAAAACTTATGATGAAGGTCAAAGCCAAAGGTTTGGCGGCAATGGCAGCTCCAAAACAAGAATCCAAACCCTAGAAACCAGAAGATGGCAATCTGTCCGCCAGATAGCCCCATGGCTACGGTGATTTCAGCTGATCCAAGGCCTGAAACCCTCCAATATCAAGCCTCTGGGGTCGAAGAAACCCTAGATAGATCAGCATTTCACTGAAAGCCAAGGGATATACGGTTTAGGTGTGGAGAAGGTTGTTGAAACTTGAAAGTCAAAGGGAAAACGGCCGAATAGTTGCAAAAGAGGGAATTAGGGTTTGAATCTTCAACAATTTTCTCCTCTCTTTGAATATTCTAGGGTTCAATCACCTCGGAATTTTTGGAAAGTGGGTCCTTCAAAGAGAGATATCCGCTTTTCAAATATGGCTGGTTAGAGAGAGAAGAGGTGTTCAGCGCAAATCACAATTCAGGGATTCAGAAAGAGGATGAGAGAGGTGATAGCGTGAACGGAGGGGTTTCATAAGTCCTGGTTTGCGACTTAGAGAGAGAAAGTGCAAGACTGCGACAAAGAGAGAGAAAGTGCGAGACTGCGACAAAGAGAGAGAGAGTGCGAGACCGTCTGAAGCCGCGAAACAAACGTCCATAAAGAACCTTACAAAAGTCTAGAGAGAGAAACACTTGATAAAGTTTAGAGAGAGAGGGAGAGTTAAACTTGAGAGGTGAGTACAAGAAAGGGATTTGTGTGCTTCTCGGGCATTGCCTTTCAACCCTTTCTGGGTTTCTCCTGTAAATCATTAACGTGTTAAACCGTTTTTAATAGATTCTACGCCCTCTCCTTATTCCAAAATAACTATTTCATCCTTTTGCTGCTACTACGGTTGATTCATTTCTTTTGGCACGAAAAAAAACGAGATAATATGTAGTCATCATTTGTAGAATTGGACGTCTTACGTATGCTGTATTATAAAATTTAAAAAAAATAAAAATTTAGCAAATTATATGAATAATTTGAAGAAAAACTTTATATAAATTTAAGATTTTCAAGTTTTGATAGAGTATTTTTTTTTTTTTTAAGCTTTAAATTTTATAATTAAAGATGAAAATATATTTTTAAGCTATCACAAAGTTTTTCAGTATTGAAACTACATTTCTCGATACTATTTGAAGGTGCACTTTACTTTGATTATTTAGAGCCTCGAATCTATACAAACCGCATCCCATAATTTAATACTTTACTTATTTTTTTAAATAATTTCAATATATCTATAAAAAGCACATGATCATGAGTAGGATTGTCAATGAACCGAGCGATCCAGCCCAACCTAGTGGGCCACAAACTATGGCCCGAGGGCTAGGCTTGGGCTAGTGTTCGCCTAGTTCAGCGCGACCAGCCCCTTTTTTTTTCTTGCTTTTTTTTTTATTTTTTTAACCAAGGCCAAGCCCAGCCTATTGCCACCGCATAATCTTGAGTTCTAATAGTTGCAAATATTCAAATAGTGAATACTTCATAGCATATAGGCATTTTGATAAATTTCTCGAAAATAATTTGCAATGGCCAAAAGCTAATTTGCTTTTTTGTGGATATAGTACATTTCATTGTGAAAATGTATTAAACTGATTTCGTCTTGATGTACAAAATTCATTATAATCAGAAGAAAAAAAAAAATTTATTTCTCCCTTACAAAATTCTAGGTTGTTAATGGGCCTTAGGACATGCTTGTAATTGAAACCCAACACTGGCCCCTCAAATAACCCCATCTAATCTTGTGGATTATTTCTTCTTTCCGTAAGCCTTTTTTCATGAATGACAAATGTTATAATGTCAGATACAATCCCCCTATTCAGCACCAATTTACCTTGATCATCAAAATCTTGAAAAAACCTTTAAAGTATGTTAAAAACGCGGATTGGATCGATTGAACCGGTGATCTAAAATCAGTCTGAATTAGTGAATTGCCCATCCAATCAATAAAAATTAAAAATTAAAAACTTGAAAATAAAAATAAAAAATAAAAAAGTGGACACCGGGCAAACTAACTAGGCCGGATCGTTTGGTTCCCTAACAGCACTGACTAATTCTATAAGAGAACTAGCCGACTACCCTATTCCTAATATACTCAAAGAGCTAGTTCGGTGTCTATAATGACTCATGATCCAAATTGGACAATTCCAATACAAGATGGATGTTTTTTATTTAAAGGAGAAAATTTATATAAGGTTGCAACCTTAAAATGTAGAATTATAGATGTACTTAAAATTCCATAAAAAAGGTTGTGTCCCAAAAAAAAAAAAAAATTAAGTCCCAAAATAGTGCTTTTTACAATACATTATCTAGACCCTCTATTTTCAAGATTTTCATATGTTTAGAAATTTACTTGATGTTAATCATTTTTTAATTTTATAATTAGATATGAAAACAAATTTTGAGATAATGCTTATAATTTTTTACCGAAATGAAATGTTATAATAAAATTTAAAGGTATGCCTTAATTGGATTGTTTAATACAACTTTACATAAACCACACCCATCAATAGTATAATACAGTAGCAATTATCAATTAAGCCATCATTCCTTCGGCTCTATAAATTGAACTACCCCATCTTTTCATCCTCCTTTTGTCGTACTGGCCCCATACATCCTCTCCATATACCTCGTTATTCGAGACCTCAATCATCTCTGCCCTCTCTCATCACTGATCTCCCTCTCCCTCGGCCTCTCCCTCTGCCTATATTAAGATGATTTCATGCTCTTGAGGGAGCATACTATCTATTTGCTCTCTTGGCTAAACTCCAAGCTAGCATACTTGAAACTTTGAACTTAGTGCATATATGATACAAGTAAAAATATTTATGTGAAAGTATTTTCATGTGAAAAACTCTATTAGGTGTAGAGTTTTTCGTCCTAACATATTTTTTTCACACTCATGTGCAGCTAATTAATTTGAAAAAAAATCTCACCTAATCACACGAGCGAGTTTTACGCATAGAATTTATTTCAAGTCGTACTAAATGTGCCCTTAGCAACCAACTCAAAATAAATAAATAAATAAACACATTGTGTATGTGCCCCATAAACATCACGATATTTAACAGAGAGTGCCCAACTGTTTGATGGTTCGATCCAAGTGTTTAAGAACTAAAATTTTAATTGTTTAAAATAGTCATCTAATTATTAATTGGAGTGTCACAAAATTTCAGATAAAAAAATAAAATGAAATAACTCATTTGCCAGAGGGAGTTGCTATACAGTATGTTCCCATGGGATCATGTTTTACACTCCACATATCACAATATCATAAAAATATTCTCAAAAAACATTCCCGCACTCCCTCGAAACACGGTAGATCCCGAAGTATGCAGCCTACAGTAGGGTGATTTGATCTACTAACTACTCTTGTAATTTATCATGACTTTGTATTTAGTTCTATATTGGATGATTTTATACATAACCAATTTTGGAATTTAGCACGTAATGTTTTTTATTATTTATTTTTTTTAGAGTAATGATCATACGAGACCATCCCACACTTATATGTTTAGCATTTCAAAATATTATCATTAAATTTGACACAAATCTCTAAAAAAAATTATTATATGGGTATGAGACTTGACTTTTTTTAAAGACATGTGTCAAATTTAATGACAATCCTTTAAAAACCTACACACATAGATGTAGAAAGGTCTTATAGGATCATTATTCTGTTTTTTTTATAAGTAATTAATTAGGGAAGACTGCATCCACCCGTTTTTTCAAATAATTTAAGATTTAATTGTTTGAAGGAATTAGAGGGGTGATATCCATGGGAATAGAAACCACAATGTGAACTAAAGTATGGGGGTGATGTTGCCACGACCCCAACACCTTTCCCATATTTCTTGTCCATTGCCCTTTAGAATGGGTCAAAAAGACGAGGCGTGAACATTTTCGAGTGTTTGCGGGCCTCGGCTCGGCTTTCTATGAAAGCTTGATAACAATGCCCCATATCCTAAAGCTATAGTGGGTTTTCTCCCTTTTCTTTGTGCATATGAATTGTTCAAGGAAAAAGGTTTGATAAGGTGTCAATCTTATACAGTGCAGTTAAGGTGCACCTAAGAAACCCCTTTAGTGAAGGTTGTTCTTATGTCAGAAAACTCCCAAATCGATCATCTTGACTTCGAGATTCACGTACAAGGAAAAATAAAGGGATTTCTAATCTTAAAAATAGTTCATTTTCTAACACAATATATGGGCCCTTTATTTTCAAATATTTATAGATATGTTTGATCGTCACTATTTTTGGAACTTTAAATTTCATAATTAAGAGCAACAATAGATTTTCATAGTATTGCAAGGCTTTGTGGCAAACAAAACTTCATTTCGGCATAGTTTTAAGGTGCACCTTACTTCAATAGCATGAGGTTGAGACCTTATATAAACCTCACCCCGTTGCTTTTTCCTACTTTGATTTTGGGGAGGCTAACACCTTTTCCATTTGATAAATGGATCCACACTGGATTCCACTTTTGAACATGCGAATTCCCGGCTTTTAGTTATACAAAGGAAAAGGATAAAAAGGGAAAATGAAAGACTACTTGCCAAATTTTTCTCCTTGCTATGACAATGAACCCATACAAGCACATAGAGACACAAAGGAATATGAATGCATTAAGAGAAAACCGAGTAATGTTACATACACATGGATGTATGTGTTAGTGTCTAATACATATAAGGAGTATCAGAAACGCTCATACTAAGAGATAGTCATTCACATATGAGAGTGTCAAAAATATTGATATTAAGAATTAGTCATTCAGATCATGCACCATACTTTTAAGACTTACGAGTAATAGAAGGTGTCTAAAATTTTAAGCTCTTTCAGATTTAGTCATGTCTTGGTGGTCGATACACCTTAAAGGTTATAGACACACATTCCCTTATTACATAAAAGGATTTGTATATAATGAGAGCATTTGGCAAGGAGGTCACAATTCCTCGTTGCAATTAGGTGTCAAATTGAATGGCTGGGGTAATGTCACAAAATTCAAAAAACAAATTTACACTTTGAGCCTAGTCAATGACATTCTTATAACCACCCAATTTGAAATCCAAAACACAAAAATGATTGTGACTAACTTAATTACATAAAAACAAAAATACCTAAAGCCAAAATATATTATACTCCCACATGAGTAAACTGTCTATTCACTCCCTTATGTAAAACCCCACCTAGAATTAATTTTAGGACCCCAAATTTTGGGGATGTAACTACTACAACCCAGAAATTAACCCAATAAAAAATTTCGCTAATCGCACTCTCTGTATACTTGAAAAAAAAAAGTCTCAAGATTGAATAGAGACCATCTAATTATTAAATTGTAGATCTAATTATTACAAAATTCAAAAATCAAATTCTTTATTTTAAAAATAATGTTCTAGTTATTTTCAAGTGTTTCCAAAATTTTCTATTGAAAATATCCTCCCAAGTAAGTCTTCGGACTCAAGGAATAGAAGTAAACTATGCTCCTAAAAAACACATAATGTACGTGCTATCGCAATCTCTCTCCCTTGCAATGCAAGCATCATGTGCTGGTCAAGAAAGAAGTGAATAAGGTTGTATGTGACAGAGAAAGAAGAAGGGAGCATGTCCATGAAAGTAGCGATGAACCGTGCTCTCATGTCCATGGAATTATGATTCCTCTATGGTCCATCGCAGAGGAGTTCCTAGAATTGGATTGTACACCTTACACTTG